AACAGCTGAGTCAAGTTGTCCATGAGGCAAGCCACCTTTCCCTCAGGCCACATACACCAGCACTGCACCATCTCGTTCTGTTCAAGTCAGCCCATAGTAGAGCCTTTGACTGGAAGTCAAGGAGTTGGTGTTGACTTGGCAATATTTATAAAGAACAAGATAAGTGACACACAGGTATGTTTAGGAAATAAAAGGCTCTTATCTGTATGGAATTTTTGCAAATAAACATGATGGACCACTTTATACATTATATCTCCATATTTATGTTGAAGCAAACTATATGGTCTTACTTAGCATTATCTAAACTACTTCTCTTCAAAAGGTAATCTAAGGAATGGAATTACTCTATATTTGGACAATTACGGTGGTTTATGGTGTTGCCCACATTCTTCTCAGTCACCTTTGGCTCTAGTTCAGAAATTAATAGCATGTATCAGGCATTTAGTTTGTTGATATAAACTAATGGTAGAGAATTGTCTTTCAGTGTAAGGTTAAGTACATGTTCTAGGTTGAGAAAGAGATTTTATCGCCCTGATTTTCCACTAACCTCTAGATCTTGGGTTAATAACTCTGTTTAAACATTTTCCTCTTCTGTCAGGTGGGAAAAACAGAACCTTCCACATATAGTATTTGCGACGGTTACACATGATAATTCATATGAAGCATTTATAGTGCCTGGTGCATGGTAAGACCTTAATACATTTTAATTCTTGTTTTTTTCTCTCTCTCTACTTCCACCTATATCTTTTTTCTTTCCTTTATTCCCCCCCTCGCCCGCCCCACCGCCCCCAGCCACTCTGCTTTTCCTTATCTTTTTATTTCTGTCCTATCGGTCTCTTTTTTTCTTTTATGCCTCTTCCTCATCTCAGCTCTTCTATTATTCCATGCCTTTGTATATGTCCAAGCATTTCTTTTTCTCATGTATAAGGCATCAGTGACCCACTTCCAGGGGCAAGAGCTCCACACCTTGATAAAAAGGGCACAGTATGGGCCGGCTGAGTGGTACGTTGGTTAAGAGCTGGCTTGGGATGCCAACTCTGAGCAGCAGGGCTGCCGGTTCGGATCCCACATGGGCCAGTGACACTGCGCCCTCTACAGCTAAGATGGTGAGCAGCAGCTCGACCTGGAGCTGGGCTGCCATGAGTCGCCGGCGACAGTGTAGGCTGCAGTGGGGCTGCCAGTGAGCTGTCATAAGCTACCGTGTGTGGCCAGCAGCCAGTGTGAGTGGCCGGCAGCCGGTGTGAGCTGCCAAGAGCTGCTGTGAGTGGCCATCCAGAGGCCGGCGACCGATCTGCCTCAGCTGGGAAGAGTGCAATGATAATACCAACATGGGCCAGTGAAGTGACATCCTCCACAACTAGACTGAAGAACAAATGGACAGCAACTCGTCTGTTCCCCTTTCCCGATTCCCCAACATTGTTCCCATCCCCCAATTCCCCAATAAAATCTTTTAAAAAAAGGGCACAGTAAATAGCAACTGTATTCCAATCTGATGCACTATCTTTTTAGTCAAGAATGGGAAGCATGTGTTCCAAAAATGCAAACTTGAAGTTTTGAGAAGAGACACTGAGACTCATTGTGATCACAAATGGCCACTAAACAGGAAAATGCCCAGTGTGGTAGATACCCCCTAGCAACTATGTGGACTATTAAATGAGCTGGCCGCAATCGTGGCTGGCGAGGGAGGCCTAGCCACAGTGAAGAGGGTCATGTGTGTGTGTCATATAGGAAGTGCCGCAGGGGCTTGGTCTCAGGACTAGAACCCAACTAGAACTCACTGGAATGGCTTCCTAGTAACCAGCTGAGAAAGTCCCATGTCAGAAGGATGGGACATTGTGGCAGGAGATGAAGGCAAAGGTCTCTATGCAGAAATATAGGAAGCATCCTAGGACTCTTCATTTGTCTGTGAGGTAGGATAGACCGCCACGAGACGATATAGTTCTGACATTATAGGTCTAATGGTGGTTGATGTTTACCAAACTAAAATCTTTAAAAAGCAAAACAAAACAAAAACCCCAAAACCCTAATGCTGTTTTTCAACTACAAAATTTGGGGAACATTTTTGTTTAAATTTGAGATAAAAGTATCCCTTATCCTCAGTCCTACCACCAGACAGCCATTGTCGATATTTAATATATTTCTTTTTAGCCCCTTTTTAAATATATTTATAAAATATAGTTGTCATCAAATTGTTTGTAATATATTCATTTCTTTATTTCTGACATTAAAAGTAAAATATGCTTATTTAAAACATTGGAAAGAATAGAAAAATATCACCCAGAGAAGACATGGTAAGATTTGGCATCATTCATTTCTAGTCTTTTTTATGCATTTTTGGAAACTTGGTGTGGATTATGTTGTATGTGAAATTTTATCTTGCTTTTTTCAGCTAACATTCTACCATACCCATTTCCCCAATGTCATTAAAAACACTGTACCTACCTTCACAGATGCTTCCGGTCCTGTGGTGAAAGTGGATGTGAACCAAATGGCCGTGAAAACAGAGAAGCCAGAAGAAAAGCAGATGTACAACACAGGTTAGAATAAAATTTGGGAATAAACATAAAATGGTTCTACTTGCAATTAGTACTGTTGCTAAAGATTATATATAATCAAACATTTTTTTCCTCTAATAGTATTTTTAAAGATTTAAAATTTATTGCCCAAATTCTTTTAAAATGCATTATTATTAATGAATTTTTATAACTGTAAGAGCACTAGGTGAACATTATTAAAATACTACAACTGTACCATATTTAAAAGGCATTTAACTGCTTTCCATCCCAGAATCCCTGCTTACAACTTTCTGCTGTGTTATTCTAGGACTATTTCCACTTTTATGTTTGTTTAACACAAATGAGAGCATAGTTAACAAAGTGTTTCCTACATTGTTTTTTTTACACTTAGTAATTCTTGGTTTCACAGCAAACAGATTTATCTTATATATTTTCACAGAACCATATTTGTCCATTGAATGAATGTGCTATAATTTATTTAATGTCTAGTATTCTATTGAGGGACATTAGATGTTTTCAATTTTTTTGGTCATTGTGCAAAAGTAAGTTTTATTATATTTTCAGTATTTAAATTTATAACAATAAAGTAAGGGCTTTAGGCAAACTGCAGGCCTACATATATTTGATTTCGGAGATCCATTTGCATATGAAGTACCCTAAAGGAAAATGAAAAACAAACAAACAAAAAACAATACGTAGCATCTGGCATTGCATTTTAACTCAGTGCCTATGTGTTTTCTTTTCTTTTCATAATGCCATCACCCTACTAAAAGCTTTACTCCTAAATCGACCTAGCCTGCAGCAGCAGTTGCTAACTGTGGATCAAGTCTGGTACTGAGTTTGGACTGGAATTCCAACAGTTTTACAATAGCAACATTCTTTCATTGCTTGTTTTCACAACTAACCCCCTGTTGGGGAAAGTACTGTGTCACGTATTCAAATAAACAGTTAAATGCCTTAGAATTGACTTTCCCTGACCAGTAACCCTTTCCACAGCCCTCAAACTAGGGTTGGAAAAGAGGCCTCATGTCATATTTTTAGGTCACAAGGGAATGATTTGGCATCTTTTGTTTTTCCCTGTAGCATGCAGTTTTTCAGAGAGAAAGAGAGCAGGAAAGAAGCAGCCACCAATCCACCAGGCACCATACAACGTGGATTTTTCACTGCTCTGTTCAAATGCTTTTTCCGGTCTCCTTGTGATGGCCAATAGCTAGATGGTCTGCTAGAATTCCTTCACCGTTGTATAGCATAAGAAATCAGAGAGGTAATTAAACTGATAACTTTGGCCTTAATAACAGTTCCTGATCTGCTGTAGTTGCAGTAATCTACAATAATGATACTAAACTGATCAATGTCTTCTTTCTAGGGCTAACGTTTAATGTAAATCAATCATTTATCTGGAAATATCAGGGTATTAATTGCTACATTGCTCAGCATATGGAGCTAATGTTAATAGCTTCTTTTGAAGGGAAGAGTGACCCACAGGACTTATTATTTATCACTTTACTTAATTTTGTCATCTTAAACAAATTCCCTGAAATGGCCAGAGTCCAAAGTGGCTGTTGTTACTGTTCAGCTGACTACACAGCTTCACATTTTGAGTAACAGTGAAACTGTGTGCATGGATTTTTTTTGTTGCTAAACACCTTTTTAATGTGCCTGGTTCTAGGGTGTATACTAGACACAGACAAACAACACAGACACAGACTGGTATTGGGAAATAAAACCTGGTGTATTAAAAGTTAGTTAAAATTAGGAAATTATAGAATGCCATGAACTTCCCCCATCCCTTTTCTCTTTATTCAACTAATATGGAGTAGTAACTATTGATAGACATTGTTCTAAGTGCTGAGGATACAACAAAGTACATGTTCCCAAGGAGTTCATTTCTCTTATATAACTGGGTCACCTGAGGTCTGATTTTACATTCCAAGACAGCTGGAGAGAAAGATCAGAACAAAGTAAAGAAATAGAAGGAAAATAAGGAAATGTCCTCTGGGGGATATTAAAAAACATTGAGGCAAAGCCTTAGTGAAAGAGCAGAGCATAACAAAAAAGGAGAATGGGAGAGAGGAGAGAGAGATATTAAGGACCTTATCTATATTCTATTACTTAAGCATTATTCCTGTGCATAAGTCATCATCTCTGTCTCTCACACAGCTAACACAGTGCTGGGAGGATATTGTCAAACCTAGATTCATATGGCCGGCTTATTTAGTATTTTGTTGAACCCAAGGCAATTACCAGAATGTCTTCAAGACTTAGTTTCCTATAGCACCACCTCACAGTTTTTGTTTGTTTGTTTGTTTTTATAATAATAATAGCTTAGAGACAGCACTTGTCCCAGGTTCAAATACATTCACTCTCTTAATCGTCACAATTCTGCGAGGTAGGTATTTGTCTTAGCCCAGACGGCTATAATAAAAATGCCATAGCCTAGATAGTTTATAAACAACTGAATTTATTTCAGATAATCATGGAGGTTGGAAATCTAAAATCAGGGTGCCAGCATGGTGAGGGCCCTCTTCAGGGCTGCAGATGGCAGATTCCTCCTTCTGACCTCACATGATGAAGAACAGAGCAGGGAAGCCAGCTCTCCAGTGACTTGCAAAAACCATCCATCAGGAGGGGTCTATCTTCAAGAACTCATCTAATCCTAACCACTCCCCAAAGGCCCACCTCCTAACACCACCACATGGAGGGGGTAGGCTTTCAACATACGGCTATGAGGAGGACACAAGCATTTAGTTTATAGCAATATTACTTCCATTTTATATATGAGGAAATTGAGGCACAGGTAGGTCATGTCACTTACTGAAGGTCATACAAGTGGTATCTGGCAAAACCAGAACTCGAACTTCATCTCCAGAGCCTGCTTTTAACTATGGCTCACACTGCCCGTCAATAAATGGCACATAGCAAGGCTAGAAATAAGCAGACACGCTGTACTGTAAGGTTCTTTCTCACCTTCTGCTCCATCATGTATTGGATATTTATCAAACCCCGATGGTGTCATGGAACTGTGATAGATAATAAGGGTATAAGGGGTGAATAGAACATTTCTGGTACTTGCCCCCCTGGAGTGTGTGGCCACTGTCAACTGAGCAGAAAGAGTCGGGAGGCTCTGGCTAGAAATAAATAGCAAAGATGTATTCAAAGTTCTTGGGGTTTGCAAAGCAGCAATACCTAGAGTGTTCCGAAGAAAGAAAAGCTGAGTTCTTACAGTAAAAAGTGCATTCTTAAGAAGAATCAGTCCTGCATTCTTAGCTTCCGGATTGGTCCGACATTGTAATCTTCCAGATGTCTGGTCTGAATAATGGATGTCAGGTGGTCTGGACCGTGAACATCCTTTTCTAAGTCCTTCATGGGGAAATCAAAGGGTTATCTATAGGATTCACACACACACACACACACACACACACACACACACACACAGAGTCATACCTTTTTTTATTGTGCTTCACTTTATTGTACTTCGCAGACATTGCATTTTTTACAAACTGAAGGCAAGACCCACCAACAGCAAAAAGATTATGACTCACTTTATTACAATATTCACTTTTATTATGGTGCTCTGAATCTGAACCTGCAGTATGTCTGAGGGTGTGTGTGTGTGTGTGTGTGTATCTCAAGGCATAATTGGAGAATTCAAAAGTTTAAGTTCCCAGGCTAGTTAAAGCAAAACCAGAATGCTTCCTGCATCATCCCACTTGATTTTAGTCAATGAGCAGCTTGACAACAGTGACTCCATTTTATTTCTTCACTCTTTCCTTACCTTTAAGCCAGTAACATTACCCTACCCAGGTTTTCAGACTTCCGTTTTCTCCCATTTTTTTGTGCACATTAGTCCTCCAGCCAACCGGTGGGGGGTTGATCGGGGTGAGTGGTGTCCATAACAGGGTCTCCCTAGGTCTCCTGGACGGCTGGGTTAGGGACCAGGTGACCTGCGGGGAAGAGATCCCTTTAAGTCTCCTTCTTTCTCTCTGAGCCTCTGCTTAAAATCCGGAGGCATGTATACAAAGGTTCTTTCCGCACTAACCTTCTGGGGTTCTTCACCCTCCCCGCCCCGCCCCCCAAGGCCTGACATCCTCAGCCGGGCATTCCAGGCCTTGGGGTGCCTTCCCGCCTCAAAGCCCAGGAGACCGTATTCTCTCCTCGGAGTCTGCAGAATTCCATGCGTCCGTTCGCCCGAGGAGATGGGAAGATATGCTGGTCTCCTTGGTCACCACCCTGCCCCCAGACCCAGGTGTCTGTCCAGCACTGCCGGCTGGGGCCGCCGGTGTCTGCCTTTGTCACTGTTTCCCGGTAGGTGGCACGTTCTTGGAGCCCCCAGTGCTGGTTCACCAAATCACTGGGGCCTTTGACCAGCGGGTGCGAGTCCGACAGCCGCGAATCGCAGGGAGGCCAAGGGTGTCCCAGGAGGGCCTGGGTCACGCACAGCACGGTCACCCAGGTACACAGGGCGTCAGGGACCGCGGCGCCCGGTCACAGCTCTCCGACCGACCGCGGCCATTGTGCTCGGCTGCCAAGCCTCTGGGCCTGGTGGGTGTCTCGGCAACGAGAAAAGCCCTGCGAGCGCCCCTAAAAACCACACTCCGTCTCCTTAGATAATGTTTTACGTTGCAAAACAAACAGGGAAAAGCCTTGGCTCCTCCCTGCGGCACACGAAGAAGCCAAAGCATGAACACAGTGGAAGCAGGAGGCAGCAGCAGCGTGACCCTCCGCCGCGAACCCGGTCACGTGGGCCGCAGAGACCGCATGGCGGCGGCCCGCGCGTCCCCGGGTCCCGACTGGCCGGGCCGCTCGGGCGCGCGCGCCGACGGGGCGGGCGCATGCGCAGGGGGGCGCGCCGCCTCTGCCCCGCGGCGAGGGTGTCTATGGAGAGGCGGCGGCCGCGGCTGCTGAGGCGGAGGCTGAGGCAGCGGCGATGGCGCCCTTCCCCGAAGAAGTGGACGTGTTCACCGCCCCACACTGGCGGATGAAGCAGCTGGTGGGCCTCTACTGCGACAAGGTAACGGTGTGCGGCGCCTCTTCCTCTGGGCGGCGCGGGCGGAGAGGAGGAGCCGGCCTGGCCCCTGGGCGGCCAGGCCTGCGCCGCTCCCGCAGCCCCCGGGGCCGCGCCGCACGAATTGCCGCCTGCGTAGCTGTCAGCGCCGCGCTCTCTCTCCCGCACCTTCCCCGGGGGAGCCCGCGCCCCCGTCCGGCCGCTGGCTCCGACGTGCCCTCGGGGCTGGCGACGCGGCCCTGCCAGCCGGGGGCCTAGGAACCACCGCCCTCGGGGCCGGCTTCCCGCGGGCACGCCGGGTCTCCAGCTGGTGCCCCCTCAGGGAAGACGGGCACCTTCGCTCCCCACTGACCTTCGGGGACTCCGCGCCGGTCACCTGCGGTGGGTTTCCCATCCGCCGTGTGAGGCCGTTTCCGCGGCTGTTCCCCGCCTAGTCCATCGCCGCCGCCCCTTGCCCTACCTCCGGCCGGTTCGGGGTCTCCCTGAGTCTTTCTGCAATTCCCATCTGCCCTTCTGAACCCCTAGCTTGCTTTCTGGCCGAACGGGAAGCAACTACCTCTAGCTTGTGTTACGCCCCAGCTTTTTACCGGTTTCATTTGGGAGAAAACCCAGGTTTCTTGATGTAGGAACTAGCGAATCTTCGCTCTTCGTTTGCGGTTATTTATTTATTTATTTTTCCTTGCAACTTTTATTGCCCGGAGCGTGGACTCCATGCAGATTTTGTTAATAAGACATCTATTCTCTGTTGGAATTCCTGACGTGGGCTCGAATAAAAGGGGCCTCAGAAAAAGTTGGTTTAACGGTCAGAACCTTTTTGGACCCTTCATTGGTGCAACATAAGCCGAAAAAGCACTTTAGTGGAGATAGTTCAGGACCTTTTGCTAATGATTCTAAAACAATGTTAAGATTTCACATTTTTATCAGTTTACGTTGGGGAACAGCCCATTTGGATAGCCTGAAAACTTCAGGCAGTTCTGTTTCGGGTAGACATGAACCAAATTAGAAGCATTGAAATAACTGTAGTTTAAGCACAGAATAGAATTAAACTTTTATGAATTTTCAGAAATTACATAGGATTAAGCAGAACCGCTGTTAAAAGAGGGGTTCCTACCGCCCAGTGAGGTGGTTGGAGGATGCCCGGTGCGTGTTCATTGTTAGGCCAGACTCACAACCAGCAACGTGAAATCCATCCACAACCGTCCTTTCCCTCCCTCCATTTTGAAAATTAAAAAATACCAGATTCAAATACAGGTTTAAACACCAGGGCATTCTAGGACAGTGGTTTTGTAACCTTGGTTCCTAGTTAGAATCACCCCCAAAACTGTCCAAAATCCTGATGCCCAAACCACTAAAATCAGGATCTCTGAGGGTGGGACCCAGGCGTCAAGTCCAGTCATGTGCTGCATGACACCTTTCCCATCAGGAACAGCACGTCCGACCATGGCCCCGTCAGGTTACAGTGGCGCCGAAAAGGTCCTGTCTCCTGGTGACACAGCTGTTGTCCCCAGTGCAGTACTCGCTTGTTTGTGGTGGTGATGCTGGTTTAAACAAACCTATTGCACTGCCAGTTGAATAAAAGTAGAGCACATACAAACCTGTACAGTATATAATACTTGATAATAAATGACTATGTTACTAGTTTACGTATTTACTATGCTTTTTATTATTTTGGAGTGTACTTTTTCTACTCATAAAACTTTCTGTAAAACAGTATGTCATGTTACGCCACATCTCTCGTTATGGTGTTATTTTCTCTTGTGCTTGATTTAATCTTGTATTTTGTACAGAAACAGGCTGTACAGGCTTGTGGCCTAGGAGCCATAAGGGTATACCATACAGCCTCGGTGTGCAGGAGGCTATACTTGGATGGTATCTAGGTTTGTGTAAGTACCCTCTTTGATGTTTGCACAACAAAATCGCTTAACGGTGAATTTCTCAGAACATATCCCCATAGTTCAAGGGCACATGATTGTCTAATTTAAAGCTCCCTGGGTGAGTCCAGTGTGCAGTCAAGGGTGAGAACCACTTATCCAGGAGAAGCATTGAGAATGGGTAAGCCATTAGTTAAGCTGAATAACCTTGAATTTTTGTCGCTTACTGTAGTGTTTTTAGTTCCTGTAGCTTTTGAACTTAGTGATTCTGACAGTATCCTTTAATCGCAGCAAAGAAAAAGATTGGGAGGTTTTTTTATTTTCTCAAAATCAAAAAGGGAAAGTTAGTGAGTTCTAATGGAATCTGAAGTCTCCTCTCCATTTTAGATTTGGCGAGAGAGAGTCTGGGGACCACCAGAAATTGTTAAGAAACTTTTTGTTCATGTGTATATTTTCCTAGGAGTTTTGTGGCTTTCATTAGATTTCCAAACGATTGCTTTTCTACCAAAATAGTTAAGAATCACAACTTGATTTAGATATGTACTAGACTAACCAGCCTTATTTTAAATTTTGAAGAAGCCAGTCACTAATTCCGTGTGTCATTACCTGGTGATTGAGAACATTAGAACAGATTTTGAAAATACAGTGCCGTTTTAAAAAACAATATCGCAGTCAAGTAAGATTATTTTCAGTAGTTAAATGTTTCCTCTTGCAATAACTAGAAAGCATTTTCAATTTGACATAGCAGAAGTGAAAATTATCACTAATGCTGAACTAATTAGATGTGGTTAATGAGATTTTGTATATATTCATCAAGAAGATTAAGAGTCCAATTTTCTGAACTGTGGATCAGAGACAAGGTAATTTAGGAAAAAAACAAAACCAAAACCAAAAAAACCCCAAAAAAACTCAGCTGCATAGGAATTCTACATCCGGATTTCCTCTTCTTTTTTTTTTTTTATAGATTTTATTGCGGAATTGGTGGAGGGAACAGCGCTGGGGAATTGGGTAGTGGGGAACAGACAAGTTGCTGTCCTTTTGTTCTTCAATCTAGTTGTGGAGGACGTCGCTTCACTGGCCCATGTTGGTATTATCATTGTGCTCTTCCCGGATGAGGCAGATGGGTTGCCGGCCATTGGATGGCTGCTCACGGCGGCTCACGGAAGCTCACACCGGCTGCCAGGTAGCTTATGGCAGCCCACTGCAGCCTACGCCATCGCCGTCGACTCACGGCAGCCCAGCTCCAGGTCGAGCTGTTGTTCATCTTAGCTGTAGAAGCCGCAGTGTCACTGGCCCATGTGGAATCCAAACTGGCGACTCTGCTGCTCAGAGCTCGGGCTCCCAAGCCAACTCTTAACCAACGTGCCACTCGGCCGGCCCCCAGATTTCTTCTTGATACTACTAGCTAATGGAAATATCTCCTAGTATATCCTTTGGGAGCTAGGGTGGAAAAATAAGTCTTTTGTAATGGCTGAGTAATCTTAAGGGACTGTTTGTTTTTATTCATCACCTCAAGTTTTGCCTTCACCATCTTTTGTTTGCATTGGCCAGGGATTTCCAACGCAAGCAGCCTATAGTAAAACTTTACAAAACGAGAACTATTGGATTGTCAGAAAAGGCATGACGCAGTTTTGCAACGAAAAACAGAAAAAATACATCATGACTTTTCTGATAACCCAATAATTTTTATACTCAAACTGAAAAGATACAAATTATGATATTCTAAATGTTGACTCTGAATGCCCAGTAATTAATAAAGAAGTCAATTTTATTTCCAATATGAAACTTTTCAAGTACAATATATTTTAGAAGCATCAGTTTATTTACTAGCATCAACTCAATCATATAAATACCCAGACTAGTTTACTTAGATTAATTTATTCTGAAATTGTGGGCCATTAAAATTTTTTTTTTAAACTTTATTGGGGAACAGAATATTGTCCAGAACTGATCAACTCCAAGCCAAGTCATTTTTTTTGTTTGTTTTTAGCTGAGCCAACCTGCCACCTGTTGGCAGCTCAGCTCAGGCCAGGACTCGAACCGCTGTTGCTTAGAGCTCGCACTCTTGAGTGAGCTCTTAACCAACTGAGCCACTTGGCTGGCCCAAGTCGTTTTTAATCTACTTGTTGAGGGTGCAGATCAGCTCCAAGTCTAGGTGCCGTTTTCAATTTAGTTGCGGGGGGCTGGGGGGCCGCAACCCACCATCCTATGTGGGAATCGAACTGGCAACCTTGTTAAGAGCACACGCTCTAACCAACTGATCCATCTGGCCATCCACTGGCAGCTCAGCGACAGCTCAGCTCAAGTCGAACCAGCAACCTTGTTTGTTGTTCAGAGCACGTGCTCTAACCAACTGAGCCACCCGTCTGCCCCATAAATATTGCTGTGTAATACCTAATTTAATACTTTGCTCATGGATTTCCTCTTAGCATTTATAAATGGTATTATGGAAAGGTTTTTTATTGTTATCCAGACAACAGTCCTTTGAGATAGGTAAAGGCAGGGGTATTTCTGTTTTGTAGCTAGGACTTATAGACCTGGATTAGCTAGACCAAGTTACATAAGCAGTTAGTAGTATATCCAGATGGAAACCCGTCAGGATCATGATTCCTGGTTTAATTTTCTTTGTGTGAAACAGTAGTTTCTGAAAAAAATTTTTTGGTAACAATCTTTTAGGAAATTGTTTTGTTAATTCACTGACCTTTACCAATTGGGGTGGTTTTAGTGAATATTTGCATTGAATGACATCCTTTTTCCAGTTTACTCCAATTCCTCAGTCTTTCCTCTAACCCTCAAAATTTAACGGCATTAATTCTGCCAGTGAACATTGAGTTTCTACTGTCAGTTGGCCCTATAGTAGGTTGTGTTAGCTATGTGAGATGTGGTCCCTGTTCTTAAGGAGTTTACAATCTAACTTTTGTGCTAGGATGGAAGTCCAAATGTGGAATAGTGGGAGCCAAGGAAGGTATATGGTCAGTTGTACATTAATATGTCAGGACTGGTCTTACAGTGTCTTCGAACTGGTGTCTGAGAACAAAGTAGGTGGTGGTTG